CACACACACACACAGACATACGGACAGAATTGCAAAGCCCAGTTTTTCAGACTGGATTACGCATAAAACCTCTTAATTTTGATAAATCTGGATTGATAATTTTTGCCCGATTAAAATAAGTCCTCTATACTTCGGATGTGATGAAGGACTGAGGTGTAATACGGTGAAAATTGTTAAAATTTCAATTGATTTTTGTGCACGATTACAATACTTTCTCTATACTTCGTATATACGAGAAAGTAAAAAGGGCTCGTATAGTAATAACCTTGGTACCATTAAGAAGTAGATTTTAAGCCGTCTAACTATGTCTAATTTTTATAGTTGTTAATATTAAACAATATATCTTATTTACTAATTGAAAACTAACACCGAGATGATTTTTCAACGGCAGTCGAGTAACGGTTTTTGACTCCTCTAGCAATCAACTCGCGGGCCTTTTTTGAAAGTTGAACGTATTTCTTTACAAATACCTGTAAAATGTGCAGCATTGAATAGCCTTTAGTGGAATGCAAAACAAAAAAAAATGCATAATAGACTAAATATTTAAAATATTTAAAAAAAAACTAAGAAATGTGAAAATTACCATGTGATTCTATCATCGTATAACTTTTTTATCAGCATATTCAGAAAGTTGGTCCTTTTTTATGTTCAAACATTTATTAAAACATTTATTTTGTTTATCATTTCAAAAAAGGCCGAGCTCGACAAAACCAGTCTTTCTTCCAGACTTTTTTCTCCGAGGGGGGGGGGGGGCGCTTGATATTTTCGGAGGGGGCGGACACTAGTAAAAGTGTATGTTTACTATATAAATTCCATCTCGATCGGGGGGGGGGGGGCGATAGACATATTAATATTAACAGAGTGATTATTTCCCCTACTTCGTTTGTCTTATTTTCTAGGAACCATTATGTCAAATTGTTTTTACAAGGATTACAAAAAGATTGTGTTGCTTTCATTGTGTGTATCTTTTTTTTTTTTTGTTTTTTTTTGTTTAGAGTGATAAATTGTTTTAATTTGTCGGCCAACATTGAGTGTTTTTTTCTTATTTCTTCAGAGCACTTTCAATCTATTTTACATCATAGCGAAACAATGACATACAGCTAGTATATATATATATATATATATATATATATATATATATATATATATATATATATATATATATATATATATATATATACATACATATATATATATATATATATATATATATATATATATATATATATATATATATATATATATATATATTTACCTCGAAAAAATTTGACCCCCCCATGAGACGATCCTGGCTACGCCACTGATTCTCGTCGTTGTCTACTGATTTCCTTATCCCACGCAAATCTACTTGTTCGTACACGAATATTATCGTAAGGCGTGGCCGAATGGTAGAGTGTTTAATTGATATCCCGACAGTTTCGAGTTCGAATCCGGGTTAAAATTCCTAGTGATAGTGATGGGCACACTATCCCTTCATATGACGAGGTCACAGAAACAGGTGGGCTCTACTTCGCTTTCCACATGGACCGTTAAATTTAAAGTAAACATTACTTTTATCCTACATTGCTGGCTCTACTGCTTGCTTATTCGATACTTTTGGCACTGAGTACATGCTGGTGTCTCACCCTGATGCTTGTATTATGTCATGTTTTGCTTTCACATGATAGGCTGAATAATACATGGACTTTCGTTATCTCTACGTATGTCATGGGCTTATATGCTGCTTATTGGCATTCTCTGATGGGCTTAAGTAATCTCTATTTTTGCCATTGGGCGACATAGTGGTCTAGCGGTAGAGAGTTGGACTGCTAACCCGTAAGTCTTGAGTTCGAATCCGGGTTCAAGTCAGTAGACCGTCCCTGAGTCCACCCAAGTAAAGGCGGCTGGGCATAGTGCTGACCACACTATCTCTTCATGTGCCCTATAGACCGTCAGGGAACTTTACTTACTATTCTTGCCATTCTCTAGTGGGCTTAAGTAACCTCTATTCTTGCCATTCTCTGATGGGCTTAAGTAACCTCTATTCTTGACATTTTCTGATGGGCTTAAGTAACCTCTATTCTTGTCATTCTTTATGGGGTTAAGGAATCTCTATTCTTGTCATTCTCTGATGGGCCATTCTTCGCATAATGTCAGGAGTTCAATAAGCGACTAAAATTCAGAAAAAATTTGATCGAACGCTTACTTGCATAGATGTAAAAATTACCAACGTTTTCATTAACAGCTTTTTGTATACCCCTACACACGCCAACGACATTAACCCTTTTCCTTTTCATTTTTAATCTTATAATGCTTCAAACTTCAATCTCTTAATAACATTTTAATGCTACACCCAATAGAAAGAGAAACTGGCACGGGGAAAAAAAAGCCTCTAAAGTAAATCTCAAGACGTTAAGCCCCTCACAGTCAAACTGTTGGCACGTGATTTCAACTGGATCAAGAAGTAATTACACGTGGGGCTTTGGCCGAGACATAATTATACAGTGGGGGGGGGGGGGGGTGTGTGCTGGCGTGCGTGGTGTGCGTGTGTGTTTAATTTGTTTTTATATAATTAGCCTGATAATTAGTAATGCAGGGGTCCCGATTAAGTAAAAATTCAATTATACGTTTAATCTAGAAGCCTAGACATTTGCATAATGTGGTTTTAGTTATGGTATACTGTAGTAAAACGGCATTTATAATAGTTACTGTATACCGTAGTAATTTGGCATTTACTTGATGTAGAACGTAGTATTGCCGCATCTTTATTAGTTAATGTATACGGTAGTAATGTGACATTTAGTTACTGTATAACGTAGCCATGCGGTGCACACTTAAAATATTGATCTGCTCCCATGAAATAGAGTTCTTCTGTTCTTTTTACCTCAGCTCAAGAAAAAAAAGAGTAGAGGAATTGTCTGGTGGATGGATAAATGCTTGGACGGATTGTTGAATGACTGCTTGGACTGATTGTTGGATGGATAGATTGACGGACGGATGGACGGATCTGTAAAACTGCAGATTGAGACGTGCATATCTCTTCCGGTCCAAAAAAATTGTAACGGGTTAACACATCGCAACATATTGAAGCCAACAGCTGTTGCTTTTATAGCTCCAGTGAGCACCTGATCAAAGATTTTACTTCCGAACAAAACATAAACATACATAAGATTATAAAAAAATCTGCCCCAGATTAACGTTCTGGGTCGATGAAAGATTTAATCTTACTGCAAGGTTGTATTTCTTGTGGACATTTTGTGGATATTTTGTTGTGTTTCTTGTAAACTAGACATTTTGAGAATATTGTGTTGTATTTTTTGTAGGCATTTTGTGAATATTGTGGTGTATTTCTTCTATTGAAATTCTGTGAAAATTGCGTAGTATTTTTTGTAAACTAGATATTATGTGGACATTGTGTTGAATTTCTTGTAGACATTTTGTTGACACTGTGTGAAAATTGCGTTGTATTTCTTGTAAAGTAGACATTTTGTGATTATTGTGTAGTACTTCTTCTAGACATTCAGTAACATTGTGTAGTACTTCTTCTAGACATTCAGTAACATTGTGTAGTACTTCCTCTAAACTAGACATCTTGTGGACATTGTGTTGTAAATCTTCAGGAATCCTCTTTATAGATAAAGCCTAGACTTAATCAGGAGTGTAAATTAAGATTTGTATCGTTTGTAGTCTACAAGGTCACGACATCAAGGTCCAGCTGCTAGTGCTTAGTTTGACGTGTAACGAAAGTAGACGGCGTTTTGGGTTTGATTCGGATAATCGTTGCAGAAGTTAGTCTTACTTTTTTTTAAAAGTATCTTTGATTCGGACATTTGCTGCATAAGTTGGTCAAACTTTTCAAAAAGTGACTCAAACCGTTTTTTAAATTTTGGTGAGATTTTTCTATTTTGTGAAATTCTGTAGATTTTATAATGTGGATCAAGGTATACTTTACATAGCATAAGTATCAAAGTTTTAATGATGGTTCGTTTACTTTTAGTGCTTTACTCGTTTTTTAATTATTTTATTTTTAATACTCTAGTTTAAAATTTAAAAACATCAGAAGTATCAATTAATCAAATTTTAAACTTGTGGAAGGTTAGTTTAATCGCAGTTAATATCTAAAAAAATAATTTTATTTCCACTGTCAAGAGATTTTTAAAATCCCAGTGCTTTTTAAAATAATACTTGAATTCAGATTGCTAGAAGATCCATGCTATTATTGTTATCTAGAGAATTTGTCTTTCGATAGACAAACGCTCAAAGAACAGCACGTAAGCAAAGCCTTCGTTATTTGCAAGACACTTTGGAGAAGAGAATTTTTTTTTAGAAGCCAGCTGCCTTAAGTTAAGTCCTATATATTTTGATCGTTTGTCTTCTTATGGCTAGCATTGGCTTTAAGCTCAAAATACCTCACAAGAGGTTGGGGGTGGGGCTGGGTTCAATTGTTAGGAGGTTTTATTTGTAGGCACAGTGAAGAAATGTAAGGAATGGTTGTAAGAGTACCATCACCATTTTTCGTATTATTAGATAATCATAATCATAATCATAATCATAATCATAATCATATTCATAATCATAATCATAATCATAATCATAATCATAATCATAATCATAATCATAATCATAATCATAATCATAATCATAATCATAATCATAATCATAATCATAATCATAACCATAACCATAACCATAACCATAACCATAACCATAACCATAACCATAACCATAATCATAATCATAATCATAATCATGATCATGATCATAATTATAATCATCATCATCATCATCATCATCATGACCACGACCACGACCACGACCAGTATTAACGTCATTATTAGCATTATGGTTCTCGTTATTACCTTGTTATTGATTAGAATATTTTTCCCACTTACAAAACGTGCTACGTCACTCTAGATTAGTAATACTAAACCCTTGTTAGATCAAACCCCAGGTGTTCGGCGAGTCAGTCTCAGGTGTTTGGCGTTACTCAAAACACACACCTGACTCCGACGATTCACGATCAGATTTTGTCAACGTGGAGGTTAGAACTAGAAAGGTTCGGAATGCTCGTATGCAACATGTTGGGTTCAGTACTTTAAAAAAGTTTATGTTTATGTTTTTTTGTGTGCATAATCTCAAATTTATTTTTAACATATCTTTTGAAAAAACATTCCCTGCTCTATTCACAGATGCTGTTACAAAAGAATGCAATAATGATGGGCCGGCTGAAGTACTTCATCCTGTTTCTATGCTGCTGTGCCGTGAGTGTTGTGTACATCATTAACGACAGCGTATTTAGGATAGACCTATCGGCCGTCGGGACCTACAGACACGTAGGCCGACTTCTGTATAAACCCGCCGCTAAAGTAGATCCGGAAAATGCCTGTAATCGTCCGCCGATGAAGATCGACGACCCTGTGATGATGTCGTACTACACAAAACTTCCGCCGCCCGTGTGTGAAGGCGAGGAGAATTGGGTCTACGTCGACAACGGTACCTTGAGATTTTCTAAATCAGTCGTGAAGAAGTACGGGAATTTCACCTGTGACTTTTACAACCTGGTGAGGGTCCATGAGTATGACGTCACTTGGGGAAGCTCTTATGTAAATGTACAAGAAGGATACCGCATCCCATCAGATTTTTTTAAAGTCCGCTGCAAAGCGGATGGTAACCACACCTACGACGGCATCCACGCCGGGGTCGCCTACACCCACGACAGAGCGACTAGACCGGAAGTGGATTTAAGCCAGGGGCTCGGCGGGCTGAGTATCGCCATCATGGGCTACGATTCAATGTCAAGGTTATCCTGGCTGCTGCGCCTTCCCAAGACGCGTGAGTACTTCATGAGCTTGGGGGCCATCGAGCTGGAGTCACACAACGTCGTGGGGGACGGGACGACGGCCGTCATGTTTCCCATGCTGACCGGCAAGGCTGAGTGGGAACTTCCCCAATGTGGGTACGGTTCTTTTATTTATTTTTGTGTATTAAGGGAACTTCCCCAATGTGGTTACGGTTGTTTTATTTTGTATGTGTATTAAGGGAACTTCCCAAATGTGGGTACGGTTCTTTTATTTTTTTTATGTGTATTAAATTCATTCCGGCAATATCAAAATCTTGAGCCGATAGTGAGAGTTTAAATAGGGTACGAGAATAACGTTTAGCGTGAAATTACAACCTTTGTAAATTCAATCAAACGCGATTCAACAATAGGGCTGGTAAATAGGTCACCAACCAGTTCTATGCAGGTTTTATTGAGCCGTAGAACTGGTTGGTGACCTACTTACCAGCCCTATTTTTCTTTAAATAACAAAGAATCTTGTTATTCTAATCCCCAGGAAAAACGTCAAAGGCGCCAACCCTCTGGACAACTTCCCTTTTCTCTGGCATGAGTTCAAGAAAGCCGGATACCTGACGTCATGGTCCAACGGTCTGTCTGGCGCGTTCAACTGGCGGATGCTGGGATTCAGCCAGCAGCCGACAGACTTCTATACCCGACAGTTTTTCTACGCCATCGATCCTTCGCGATCCTTCCAAAGAGAGTGCATCGGAAGCGAAAGGACGATTCAAGTCTGGCTCAAATACTTCAGAGATATTTTCGTCATGTACAGGAACAGGCGAAAGTTCCTCTTCCATTTCTTCGCGGAGTTAAGTCATAACGACAATAACAAGATCACAAAGGTAAGTCTTCTTTCTGTTATTTTAGAGTTAAAGAACATTTTCATAATATCCTTCCATCTGTTGGAGGGTTATGGCCTGTTTCGTCACCTTCTTTTTCTATTTACTTAAGTTAAGTATAAGTTCTACATCTCTTTGATTTGCTATTCTGTTAAGATGACTTCACATTCTTAGTTTTCTTTCGTGTTTCAAAAAATATCTGCCACTTTTTTTTTTTTTGTACTTAAGTAAATGATCTTATTGGTTAGTTTTGTTAATCCTTTGTCGGTGCATCTATTTTTCGTAGGATCCTCCTCTCCCATCTGCTCTAATAATAAAAAGGTTAAGTAGAAATTCCCTTGTATTCCTAGACGGCTAGTAGCGAATAGCAACAGAATTCGTCTAAATGAAACACACGAAACAACGGTCTGATCAGTATTTGACCCTTTATGTCCATCCGGCCAAATATACCCATCCCCACCCCGACACAGGAGAAGTACCCATAATAATTCGAGACCAAAAATCCATACTATTTTGGGAACAAGATCTTCCGATTAGCATTCTTGAACCTTAAAGAAAAGATGCGCCAACGAGTTGAAATCTAGACAAATTAAAGCGCTCGGAACAAATTACTTTTCGACGAAAACTTGACACCTATTACCAAAAAGGGTGTTACTATATATTTAAAACAGAAAAATCTACACAATTAAAACTATGTATTAATGTGCATATTTCCACATAAAGCCGTTCAACTAGAGTTTTCTTTTAATATTTTAAAACAGGATTTTTGAGCCATAAAGGCTGACTTACTTTGTACATTTGTTGTGATTTCATATGCAGAGTGGTGGTGGGGTGAGGTGGGGGTCACCTTTTATGTCATAAGACTGAATTTCTCCTTCTTTTTAACTTTTAGATCGATGATGACCTGAAGGAAAGCGTCCAATTTCTGCATGACAACGGTTACCTTGACAACACATTGTTTATCTTGATGGGAGACCATGGCGCCAGGTACGGGAAATTGCGTTCTACCTGGCAAGGTAAAATGGAAGAGAGGCTGCCCTACTTCTCCTTCCTGTTCCCCAAATGGTTTGAAGAGAAATACCCCAAGGCCATCCAAAACCTGCGGACAAACACCCGTAGACTGACCACGCCTTTTGATATCCACGAGACGTTGAAAGATTTTTTACGTTTTGATGGGACGGGGGTGGGGAATGTCTCCAACAGAGGGATCAGTTTGTTTAAAGAGATTCCATCGGAGCGGACGTGCGAGCATGCGCAGATATCATCTCATTGGTGCGCATGTCTAGCGTGGCAAAATGCTTCCTCTAAAGACCCGGATGTCAAAAAAGCTTTACGTTTCGTTCTAGACACCATCAACAACTTCACTTCCGGATTTAGAGAAGACTGCGCAGAGTTATCCATCGAAAACGTCACCACGGCGTTTAAACTAAAAAGCCGGAAGTCGAACTCGGAAGCCGGCACGGACATGTTGACCTTGTACCAGCTGACATTGTTCACCGCTCCGGGTCATGGTCATTTCGAGGTCACGGTCACTTTCGACAAAAAACAAAACAAGATGGCCACAAGCGAGAAGGAAATCAGCCGAATCAACAAATATGGCGACGACCCCGAGTGTATCCTGGGTAAAAATAACCAGATCAAACCGTATTGTTATTGTAATGATAAAATCAAACGCTGAAAACCTTTCACCTGGGAGATTTATGAATAATCTCGTTTTGGGACGCAGCCATAAAACATGCATTCAGTAAACAGTAAAATACGTCTGTTTTACGTTTTACGGCAGGGATAAATAAGACGGATGTTATTTTTTTTAAATTTATGTATTGATTTATTCATTTATTCAGTTATTTATTTAGCTTTGGCTTGGCAGGATCGTTAGGATCTGTGCCATATTGTGAGATTAAAACGAAACTATTGCAGTATAAATCGTTAGATGTAAAAGACATCAAAGGGAATGTGGGTCATATTTAAATCACGTGACACGCCTAGCGTTCTGAATCTGTCACGAGGGAGTGTGGGTTGGGGGGGGGGGAGGGAGGAGGGTGTTGGGGGGGGGGGGTCAAAATGTGTAAAAACATACTTCTAAAATTTAAAATGTAATATGAAGAACTAAAATTTAACCGTTATTTTTGTTGTTAAACTTTGTGTAAGTTGTAATTAATTTATTGTCGGCTGAGCTAATAAAATATTTTAGAAAAAAATCCATTTAAAAAAACACAATTTTGATGGGGGTTGTTGGCTGAGGTGTCACATTTTAGTAGTCCGGCTTTTTGTGACGATGTGAGATGTTTAGGAGGGGGAGGGGAAAATTGTCAGAAAAAAAAAGCATTTAAAAAGTATTTTTTGTAACAATTTCAGTTATTTATCATTTAAACTAAAATCAACAATTTCTTTCATTTAAAAAGAAAATCCTGCTAAAAATATTTGAGGAAACAGAGGAGGGGGGGGGACAAGTTAGGCTAAAGAGTGCCCTCATTTAAGGCCGTTTCTGACTGTAACGTTCGATTTGTGTTCTTCTTGAGTTAAGCTTGGCCTAAGTTGTTTGACCTAAGTTGTTTGACCTAAGTTGTTTGACCTAAGTTGTTTGACCTAAGTTGTTTGACCTAAGTTGTTTGACCTAAGTTGTTTGACCTAAGTTGTTTGACCTAAGTTGTTTGACCTAAGTTGCTTGACCTAAGTTGTTTGACCTAAGTTGTTAGACCTAAGTTGTTTGATCTAGGTTGTTTGACCTAAGTTGTTTGACCTAAGTTGTTTGACCTAAGTTGCTTGACCTAAGTTGCTTGACCTAAGCAGATGTATTCGAAAAATAAAGGACCTTTTTCCTCTTCATGAAAGTTTTGTTATTGAAACTCACATAACCACATACATATGAATAAAATAAAAAATTTAACGTTTGTTTAAATGTGAATACAATAAAAATGTTAAAGTTAGTTAAAATGTCAAGAAATTAAACATGTAAAAGTTTAAATGTGAATGGAATAAAAACGTTAACGTTAGTTATAGTGGTTTTTTTTTTTTTTTTTTAACCTTTCGTTTTTTCCATTTTTTGATGTTCGAAATTATGTACAGAATTTGATGCTGATGTAAAGTTTCGCTTTTAAACCTGACGGTCTATGGGGCAAGTGAAGTAGAGTTCACTTGTTTCTGTGACCTTTCAGCACTATGGTCAGCCGCCTTTACTTTCCCAGACGTGAGTTAGGTACCTTCCAGAGTTGGGTGGACTCAGGGACCGTCTACTGACTTGAACCCGGATTCGTACTCGAGACTTACGGGTTAGCAGTCCAGCTCTCTACAGCTAGACCACTCTGTTAGTTATAATGTCAATAAAATAATAAAATTGTTATAGTACATTTAGCTGGGAATACATTAAATACGTTAGATTGTTACTTAAAATGTCAATAAAATAAAAATGTTAAAGTATGTTTAAAAAAGATGAATGTATGAATAAATTATATTTAGCCAATGGTATTGCAGAATACCATATCAAGCTGTATATGACCACTTTCCATACATTGTGCAATGACTATAACCAGCATTTGTCTTTAATTGGTGACAATTTTCAACAAATTGTTCATGTTGTAAGCATTTTCAGGGGAGACTATTTTCAAAATTAGTCGCTAAATTTATAACCTTATTATAGCCCTTTAATAAAAAAAATAGTATATCCTTTTAGAGAGTTTAATTTCTTCAAATTTATCTCAATGTTGACCGCAGAATAGTGTGGTCAGTGGTCAGCACTACTCAATAGCTTCAGAGTCAGGGACGATGTACGGACTCGAGCACAGGATTCGAACTCGCGTTTCTGAACTTGACAGGTGCAAAAGTGATGATCTACACAAGGTGTAACAGCCAATATGAAACGGTACCTACAAAGGGGCACTACTCCAATAATACTTGTTTGCATGGCAAGAGTTGGTTCCCCTATTTTATCCCAATATACGATAGACAGACTTAGTTTACCGTGAAAGAGAATTTGAAAATGAGCACCAATAAAAACACCCAAAACTTTTTTTAAAAAGTGTACGTAACGAAGCTATTGCAAAATACTTAAATGAAACTATTTACTCCAAAGGAAGAAAATTCACATGTTTAAGTTTTAAAAGTGTAGTGGGCTCTATTCGACGAACTTAGACGTGCAGGAGTGATACGTCAGCGACCAGAGTTTCTTTCAGGCATCTCTTCGGGACGGGGGACGGAGCCCCCCACCCCCCCCCCTTCCTGAAGAAGGTCTACCGCCCCCGCCCCCCCCCCCCCCCTAACGAAATGAAATTTATATAGAAAATATATTATTTTAACAGTGGACGCCCCCCCCCTCGAAGAAAGTCTAACACCCCCGCCCCCCAACCGAAATTTTAAGTCGTCCCCCCCCCCCCCCGGAGAAAAAAGTCTGGAAAAAACAATGTCAGTGACTTGTGTTTAACTGCACATACTGACGGCATCATGAAGTCGTAATAAAATTATATGCCCTTTGACTTAAAAAAGTAATGTGTATTCCGACCTACGCCTAATTCGGGTACGTGTACTTCGGCCTACGTCTAAATCGGGTAGCGTCGCTTTTGGGTTGGATGTGCAATTAACAATGCATATGAACTTCGGTAGCGTAGAAGCTTGGGAAAAGTGACGTACTGAATGGTAGGGTATACAATGTTTGGGTAGGGTAGTTACGGGACTGTTACAATCGTAAACTGTAGTGCTTGTCTTCCATACAACAGTTTTACCATTTAAACCTACCCCCCCCCTATAACTAGTAAAGGCTTGTCTTCGTCTCTACTCGACCATGACGTTAAGGGCTTGATGGCTTGACTCACACTTTCTCGGCATAGTTTTATTCAAGCATCTTCGGAGGGGCACCCTTCCCCTCCCCCCACCCCCGAACAAAATAGAAGAAATGCATATAATTTATAAAGAAAATATACTCTTTAATCAGCTTCCACACATTGGGGTCGACGTGGTCGAGTCGGTAACGCTCGAGTTCGAACCCTAGGACAGATGAGGCTCGTTAGCTGGGGACATCCACTCTACTAGGAGAGACAACACCAAAATCAAACAACTGCTTCTTGGTTGAACAGTGGCTATGGGAGCTGAAATCTGAGTCAATGGCCTCTCTGGCGCATAACCAGTTGACACGTTTACTTAACTATGCTGGAGGGGACCTCTTCCAACGAAGAAGAAGCTTCCAACCCCCCCCCCCTGGACATTTAATTCCGACCGCCCCGCCCCTTCGGAAAGCCTTGAGGGGCATTCCTGTGAAACATCAAAATCAACGAAACACAAATACAAACCCAAACAAAAAAAAACACAAACAAAAACGAAAAAAGAAAGAACAAAAACGAACCAAATCAAAACGCAACCACTAACGCAAACCCACCTAAACACAAAGAAAACACTAACGCGAACATAAACGCCCGGGGCAGAATCACCTGTTTTAGCTTAATAAACGACTATACTACCCCAACTTATTCATAGTTTTTGCACTCACTTAAACGAACGCGCCTGTTTCAATTTAATGAACAATTATAATACTCCAAGCTTATCCGTAAAATACCTACAACATTTGCACTTGATCAATCCCCGCTAATTATGTAATTATTTTTTTCCCAACACCAAAACAAAGTAATTAAAAAGTAAATGCTTTTCAACTAATGCAATGGTTTTATAAAGGGAAGTAATTGTGTTTTGCCTAATTTATCAAAGGGAAGTAAGCGCTATAGGACTAAAGAAAGACATAATTAGAGTTTTTGTAAAAGATGATATTTTTTTAAAACTTGTGTTTAATGAACATGCCGACAATTATTACTGTAATTTGAAAAATGAAAATGATTTCCCAACACTTTTAATAGTAATTATTTAACTCATAAATTTAGACAAACGCGCACGATAATTTTCTAACACTTAAATCCATCCATAACCAGCGACAAACAAACATATGCGTTACAGAATTGAGCTTTATATATTAGAAGATATACACGCTGAAATGAAATAACTCAGTGAAAAAGTTTAGCACGTGAATGTGCGTGAGTTTGTCGTGTAATGGTCTAACACCACAACAATATGTAAATCGTGTTAAGTTTTCAAGTATCACTACTTTAACTCAACTCCTAATCCTTGCCCTATACAATCTTTACAGTAGACATGATCATAATGTTGAACTTCTTCTTGGTATATCCTTAACCCTAACCCTGCTCGTTAATCCGATCACGTTAAAAAAAATTGCCATGAAATAATTTCTATCGATTGCAACAGTTCGATCAGACTCTAAATCCGACCAATGCGATTTTAAGGACAGCCCATCTTTCTTTCTGACTGCGCGCGTTGTTTTCAATATTTTCATTTCAAAACTACATAAATCGAGTCGATCTGCATACCGCAAGTATCAAAGATTTAAACTATTAACAGTTCATCAAGCACTACAATAATATCAAAAAGGCTTCTTTATAAATAAAAAGTTTTTTTTTTTTAAATCCGGCTGATATTGGAGTTCGTTGACGCCATCTATTTAAAAAGTATAAAGGATTTCTTTTATATTTAGAGTATTCTTTTTAAAATCAAATTCCACATGAAAATAGCCCACAAGAATATTTCTGCATTGTGTGGTTTTAGGTTGTGTTAAAATTGTGAGGAAAACTTGTGCAAAATAAGTTTATTTCCGAAAATGGATGTTTATTTCATACTTCAATACTTATTATCTTTCTTTTTCTTTCCGTTTTGAAGTTATGAAGATTTGTTTATTTTTAGCTTAAATTATGGAAGACAGATTTCATTTGTTTTTTTGTTTTTTAACATACCGTACATTTCTTTTCTCATGGTCGGGATTCTCAACATTTAAAACATGTAATCGCATGTTGAATTCCAACTTCTTGTATTTCTAATTATCACTACCGGCTTAATTAATTAGAAATCATTTAATTTGCTCGTCGGTCAGGCAGTCTGGAGTAAATAGAGAATCGAGAATTTTCGTCAGATTTTTTTCTTTATGTTACAGTGTATCGCACTCCAGGTCAAGACATGAGGGGGGAGGAGGGGGGGGGGGCAAGAACTCGGTCTCCATCTCGCGATTTCCGGGTAAGGAAGCGTGCGTTCTGCCGTGAAATACAACCGCTATAGGGCTTGTAAGTCTACTGTCTCGAAATCTACTAGCTGGCAAGTAAGAGAACGAGAAGTTGTGAACTACTTACAAGCCTTATTCTAGTGGATAAAACATATCTCGACAAACAAAATACGTCTATAGCTGAGTGTCACCTTTCATCACCCCGACATAAAGGTTTCGGATAACAGGCATCCAAAAATAGATAAATGAGAAACGTCTCATTATGACATAGATAACATTAGTAGAATTGGGGAATAACTAAAGACAGGTTTGGTTTGATATAAAAACTTTTAATAATTGTTAAGGTAGATCATATATCCATTGCAAGATATACAAGCTTTTGATTATATGTGAAGCATCATTCATGTATTAGTGGTGCTTCACTTTAGTTAAGGGATGTTGGTTTATTTATATTTCTAGTGGCGATGATTTTATGTCAAAACAATTTGGATCGTTTATTTCAAATCGGTAAAAATAAAATAAAGTACAGTTAACCTGTTTCTGTGACTTCGGCATATAAATGGATAATGTAGTCAGTTTTCTTTTCGGGCTGCTTTACTTTCACTAACATGAGGTAGCCTATACATCAGAGCTGGGTGGACTCAAGGACAGCCAATCTAGCCGGAAGCATTATATTGAGATTTTAATTGATTCAAAACTGTAAATCTAAATGTAGTTGTAATTTTAAAATAATTAAATAGGTCTAATTTATCTACAAACACAATTTTTTTTAAATACTTTGTATTATTATCATTATACAATATATATTCATTAATGTGGTATGGCGTGGCCGAGTAGATAGAGCGCTAGACTGTTACCCCGTACGTCTCGAGTTTGGATCCCTGGTTAAAGTATGTCAGACGTCCTTGTGTCAGACACCGAGCTCTGATGGACACTTGACTCACCTTAGGGGAACATACGCGGCTTGGGCGTAATGCTGACCACACTATCCCCTTGTATGCCGAGGTCATTGTTACAGATGAGCTCTACTTCATCTGTCCCATGTGTCTTTGGTGCGAACAGGAAAATATGATGATGATTCATCTATACTTGTATAGTAGCAAGTACTTTAAATTTGTTCATGTACGCTACATCACTATTGTAGTTTAGTATCGTCTATTTATTTTACCCTGTTCATTATTTCTTCTTCTCTGTATCCTTTACACTCTAGATGCAGCTAATAAGGAATAACCTATTGTTGAGCCGGCTGAAAGCTTTGGCACTCCTTTTACTTTTATGTTCTCTACTCGGTATTTATCTGGCCAAGGATGGGATTACGAAGACCAGCCTCCTCATAGGAAACACATACAAATGGATGGGAGAGACGGGAGTTCACACAGCAGCTATCAGAGTACAGCCCAAACAGGCGTGTATCCATCCGCCGATAAAGATCGACGACCCTTTGATGATGTCGTACTACAAAAAACTTCCGCCGCCCGTGTGTGAAGGCGAGGACTGGGTCTACGTCGACAACGGTACCTTGAGGTTTTCTAAATCAGTCTTGAAGAATTACGGGAATTTCACCTGTGATCATTATATTTTGTACAGAATCAACGAGAGAGAGATCGCTTGGGGTAGTCCCTACGTCAACATCCAAGATGGCTACCGAATTCCGACAGATTTTTTTAAAGTGAAGTGCCAGTCGGAAGACAACCACACCTACGACGGCATCCACGCCGGTGTCGCCTACACCCACGACCGCGCCAACAGACCGGAAGTGGATTTAAGCCAGGGGCTCGACGGGCTGAGTGTTGCCATCATGGGCTACGATTCCATGTCGCGGTTGTCATGGCTACGGCGCATGCCTAAGACGCGGGGGTTGTTTGCTGAGCTGGGCGCCATTGAGCTGGAAGGATACAACGTCATTGGTGACGGCACGACGATCGCGCTTCTGGCTCTGCTGACGGGCAGGTATGAATGGGAACTGCCAGACAGCAGGTATGTTGTTGTTAGGGGGCTTTATCTTTTTTATGTTACGGGTAACATCGCAATCTACTTACAACATGATGTTTGCTGTTGTTATTTTATTTTGATTGATAGTAATATTATTTCAATTAATGCGACTTTGGCACATAAAGGGATAGTAAAGTCGGCACTACACCCAGCCGCATTTGCTCTCCCTAATGTGAGACAGGCGGACTCCTGCGAAATCAAAACCGGGATCCGAACTCGTGACTTTCGGGTTAGCGGTCGAACGCTCTATCATTCGGCCACGCCCCTTTCTCTTAATTGCAGACGTAGTGTCATCTTTAACTAATTGGAAAATAAAACTTCTAATCTCCAGGATCAACAGCCCAGTAGCGGTGCCAATGGACGACTACCCGCTTATTTGGTACGACATGAAGAAAGCCGGATACTTGACGTCGTGGGCGGAAGGTCTGTCCGGATCCTTCACCTGGAAGCTTCTCGGCTTCAACCAGCAGCCGACAGACTTTCTCACCCGCCCTTTTTTCTACGCGATCAAGCCATGGAAGGAGTACATTGAACCCTGCACGGGGTCACAGAGGACAAGTCAGGTCTGGCTCAACTACTTCCGGGACATCTTCCTCATGTACAGGAACAAGCGGAAGTTCCTCTTGCATTTCTTCTCGGAGTTCAGCCATGACAACAATAATAAAATGACGGAGGTTCGTGCTGTAGGACCGCGGGCCTCTTCCGGCCCGTGAGTTGATCTAAAATATGTCGCGAGTGTAGAAAAATTAAATTTCATGACTACATTTTTAAGAATTGTAAATAGTAAAATAAAATGTATAATAGAATAGAGGATTATTTGATAGTAATATAGTTTGTGAATTTTAGTTTAAGAAAGATAGCATTAATTTGTTAGACAAAGTACTAACTTATAATCTTCGATTAAAGCAAAACGGAAAAGTACTCTAAAAAGGTAAAACTATGGCCACACTTCTAAACAAGAATATTTGTATATATCTTTTATCCAGATTGAAGTAAATTTTCGTGATCGGGCTTGTTTAATCATATCTGGGCTCTGTTTAATACTTCTAAATATCTATCAGAACTCGTTTTAAATGTATTGATTTAATATTGATTGTTCATGTTTTTTTTAAAAGATCGATGATGAGCTAAAAGACAGCATACGAATCCTGTACGACGGTGGTTACCTTGACAACACATTGTTTATCTTGATGGGGGACCATGGCGCCAGGTACGGGAAACTGCGTTCTACCTGGCAAGGTAAAATGGAAGAGAGGCTGCCCTACTTTTCTTTCCTGTTCCCCAAATGGTTTGAAGAGAAATACCCCAAGGCCATCCAAAACCTGCGGACAAACACCCATAGACTGACCACGCCTTTTGATATCCACGAGACGTTGAAAGATTTTTTACGTTTTGGTGGGACGGGGGTGGGGAATGTCTCCAACAGAGGGATCAGTTTGTTTAAAGAGATTCCATCGGAGCGGACGTGCGTGCATGCGCAGATAGCATCTCATTGGTGCGCATGCTTGGCGTGGGAAAAAGTGTCGCACGAAGACAAAAACCTGCAAATGGCTTTAGGCAGTGCGCTAGACACCATCAACAACTTCACGTCCGGCTTCCGGCAAATCTGCGCCGAGCTGGCCGTCGAAGAAATCACGGAAGCCGTGAAACTAAAAAGCAGTCGGGCACTGCTTCAAAAAATCAAAGACGTGACCTTGTACCAAATAACCTTTCACACCACTCCGGGTCATGGCCATTTCGAGGTCACGGTGACCCACGACGTAGAGCGTAACAAGATGGAGGTCGCCGGAAGTGAGATAAGCCGGATCAACAAGTATGGCAGCGATGCTGATTGTATACTGTTTAATGGTGACATCCGGCAGTTCTGCTACTGTAGGAGTAGCACCTAGACATAGGCCTCTGTTGTAACGCTGGCTTATAAGAGGTCCGCTTAAAATCAGGCAACAGTGTCTACATTTAGCGCTCCTCTGTGACGATTGGTAGCGGGTTGGTGCTCCTCTGTGACATTGGGTAGCGGGTTGGTTCTCCTCTGTGACATTGGGTAGCGGGTTGAGAAATGAAGTTAAACTGGTTGGTTTTACCACAAAAAAAAGAGAATGGATTTATGACAGAACAAAAAAGTGGTTAAATAGGTGGATGTTTGGATTGGTTGAATTGATTGATTGATTGGTTGGTTGGTTAGTTGGTCGGTCGGTCGGTCGGTCATTTACTTCCAGTTCTATTTAGAACTGTTTTGTGTAATAGGTCTGTGTACCAGCACATTGATGCTCTCGACTAGTGAGCTACTAAACCTTTCTAAATTTAAAAATGCTCTCCTTTTTTAACATGTAGGTGTTAGTTTTTTTTTTTTTTTTTTTGCCAAATTCGATACCATAATCCGAATTCCCCATACTTACATTAATAAACAATGACATCAGCTCTTAGTATTGCCTTAAAACGAAATCACTCATAGATGACGTCTCGCTCATTTCGAATATTTTACCCAGCCCCCTTCCACTGTCACGCATCGTCACAAAAAGCCAGACTCGACTTACATGCCTTATTCCTCTGAATCCACTGATGACCAAAGAGCTACAGCTACACCTGGACTCTGTACGGGGGCAGCTCTCTTCCATTCAGCTCACGTAAGCCCACGTGAGCCCACGCAAGCCCACGTAACCCATCAGAACTGTCTCTCCTTCCGTTGTAAATCTCCAGGATTGCTAAGGTCTACCTACCTTTCTTTCACCCTGGAGGCTCCAGTCCAACCCTTTGCCTCGATGTTGACCTCTTCTCAGCCAGACCCCCACCCCTAAAATAACGTCACACAACCCCTACCCTATTAAATAGATGTGATTTTAAAAAAAAACATTATGAAACATCGATTTCTTTATATAAAAAATACTTTTCAAGTTAGTCATCTCTGAGTATATTAATCTATTTCTATTACAATTTAAAAGTAACTTTTAAAATTACAAAACTAAGGTTAAAATTCAGTTTCTAACATGACTTTTTATAATACAGAAGTGTGACGTCACACTTTCTAATTTCGTCCCTCGTCACACATTGTCACAAAATTCCAACCCCCCCCCCCCTGCCGTTTTAAAAAATCCATGTTGTTTATGGACGAGCCTTGACTATATCCAACAATTTAAACCCTGGCCCAATTATCGACCATACGAAAACAACTTTAAGCCTTTGTTGCACTGTAGCCATTCAAATACCAGCCGCTATCTTTCGATCACTGAGAAGCTGAGATCATCTCACTCGGTATAACGGCTGATGTAGATCCTTTAATCCTTGACGATTCTATTCATGACTTGAAGACTGCATCCAAAATATTATTTAAATTAACGCCTAGATGATGGATCGGGATAAGATCAAGATAGGGGGATAATCCTCTTACAGTAATCTAAAACGGATAATCGCGTCGATGAGAAGAAAAAAAAAAGGGGGGGGTGCTGGTATCGGTTCTATTGGGTGGTAGGTTAAGGACCGATATAGGTGTGTGACTAGTAGGGATCGATTTGAGTGTGGGGTTATTTAGGGGTCGTTCTAAGTGTGGGGTTATTTAGGGGTCGTTCTAAGTGTGGTGTTATTTAGGGGTTGATTAAAGTGTGGGGTTATTTAGGGGTTGGTTAAAGTGTGGGGTTATTTAGGGGTTGGTTAAAGTGTGGGGTTATTTAGGGGTTGGTTTAAGTGTGGAGTTATTTAGGTGTTGGTTTAAGTGTTGAGATTTTAGGGGTCGGTTTAAGTGTGGGGTTATTTAGGGGCTGGTTTAAGTGTGGGGTTATTTAGGGGTTGGTTTGTGGGAACAGCTAGGGGTCGGTTTAAGTATTAGTCGGTTAGGGGTTGGCTGAAGTCTTCAACGGTGGTGACTCAACGACTCCAGTTTGATCTAGGGACGATTTATTGACTGATGAACAGAGTTTCTTCCAGGCATCTCTTCGGGCGGGGGGGGGGGGGGGGGGTGGGGGGGGGGGGGGGGGTTGTGATTTTGTGTGGTTGGTGTGATGGGATCGGTTGAACTTTGTGTGGTTGGTAGTGTGGTTTTGTGATTTGTGTGGTTGGTGGTGTGGTTTTGTGATTTGTGTGGTTAGTGTGGGCGGGATCTGTTGAACTTTGTGTGGTTGGTAGTGTGGTTTTGTGATTTGTGTGGTTGGTGGTGTGGTTTTGTGATTTGTGTGGTT